TTGCACCAGGAACTATCGCCTACTTCTAAATTGTCCAGATGTGGGTTTTTAATAGATGCGATTGGAAGGCATAGACTTATGAGGAAGTTTAACGTTGAAAACACTTCAATGAGCAAGCAGGTAGCGCCCTGACGTTTAAGTCAATGAAGGTTGACAAGTCATCACTAACTCCTTACTTTGAAACAGTTTACGAAAGTGAGATTTTCACGCTTAATTCGGTGATCAAGAAACCATATTGCCCTCAAGAACCGAGTTTTCCATATACATCAAAATGTTTAACCAGTTCTATTGGTAACGTATCACTTAAGGCTATATCACAGTACTTTCATTTAGCAGCATGACCCCTGGGTCATGACAGTAGTCCTTTAGCTTATTCCTTATGTCGCCAATGCATATTTTACTAAAATTTACTTTTGCAGCAAGGATAGGAGTAATTTCGTTATAATGTGCGCCAAAGTCACTCCGATTAACGTAGCAACTCAAGACGCGAGAGGGACAGTAAAATCAGTTAGCAATAATTATAGCTTGTTCAGCGATCCTCTATGAAACCTTTGATCGAAGCAGCTGGGCTATGTAAATACCTCAGCATTACAAAAGCCATTTGGGCAACATTTTGGGCAAATTCCATGAATTAATGACTTATCGAAAGCCAGACAAGTGAATTGTGCTTAACTGTTAAACTGTCAGAAAAAGCGATCAGACTCAACTGGAAAATTTCTTAGTTGGGCTTTTGTCATTAAGGCAGTCAATGACAAGACATTGACTCGGTGAACAAAGAAACGACAATGAAAACCAGTGAACTTGTCAGGTTGGACGGCATAGGCCACGAGGAGGTCAGCCTCAATGGGGATGGGTCGGCGACTGCCGAGAGTATCTGAGTCACCTGACCTGTCTGTCGATACCAGCGTGCCTGAATCCAACATTGCGCCTCGACAGGCCTGAAGCAGTCAGTAAATCAGTAAGTAAGGCGTCGACTTGAGGAAAATGAATTATCACACTAGACACACCCGAGTCAGAAGAATGGAGGAGGTGGATTATGGAGAATGAGGATAATAAGCATTCCGCGGAACGCCCTAACAGGCTTTTGGAGACTACGTGCAGATACTTGGAGGATGCCAATCGTAGAAGAGTGTTTTTTGCCCTCTTAACTCCAAGAATCAGTCAGTGGTAGGAACAGAGTGGATAATCCACACTCTACCATCTCTCAACTTTACAATGAATGCCTTCCTCAAAACCCAACAAAACGCGTTCCTTTGGACTTTACCAATTCCAGCATTACCCAGACCTCTTTTAAAGCAGCAAGGGACAGTAACCAGGAGCTTTAACACAGTCAATCCCACTCCCATCCGTTCTAAGTCACCCAATCTGCAACGAATCCGGTGTCCCTTTAAGAGTCAAGACATAATTTTGTCTAAGTCAACAAAACGCCAATAGTGCAAAGCTCAATTTCGTCACGAGTCGATTCTGTGTAGTTTCACTGCGTACGACCGCTCCGTCGAGGTAGCTCTGTACAGCAGGATGTTAGGGGCCCTTTGTAAACGCTGCTGCAATCGGCACCACGAAGCCGATACGGAACTAGATCCCAGATGTAGCAATTCGAATTCTACCTTTATACAATTCCCATGTCCATATCTTATGGAGTTTCTCGCAAGACTTGTGCGATTGTTATCGAGTGTTCCAGGGTGATGCATTGACGCTGAGGCTCAGCGATGGTGGGGTTTGGAGAACTGCGTGGCCTTCGATTGTGTTTCGTCTGGTATTTGTCACATCCCTTCGCCGGGTGTTATCCAGGTGCGTTATAAACAGGATTTAGCATTTCACATCCCCAGAACGTGTAAGGTAATACCTAACCTTGCTTAGAACTGAAATCCCGAAATGTCTCACACGTCGCGTCATTTGTGCGTGACTTGGAGCTCACCCTTTGCGCTGCATCCATCGCCTGGTCATCTTCGGTTCCTGCTTAAGCGCATTCAGGGTTGTTCGTGGCCTCTGCTACACTTTTTGGAGCAAGCTTTTCCTCCATTCCTGACTAGTGCGAAATCTCACACCACCAAAAGTGGGTCGGTCGTCGCAGTTACAAGTCTCTGAAGTTCAGCAGCTGTGTTACAATTATGATGCAGAATATCACAATGTACACTACACTGTAAGATATTAAAAAAGTAACCCAAGAAAGGCAAGTTAGGTGAATTGCTGGCTATCACGACTAATTTCCTTGGCCAATCCACAAAACCCCTTTTCAGGAGCTTAAAAAGCAGACATTGCTTAAAACAGTCATTATAAAAATACCATTAAAAAAGTGGTAACGAGAAAGACAAATGTGCGATACTGAGAGGAAATGGAATTCACTGGCGGAGGAGAGCGAGCACACTACTTTGGCTATCCGTTTCCCAGGATTCCTGGAGGTCGCGTAAAGGCACGCACCTCTGTCGTTTGGGTCTCGGTGTCCGAGCTCCATACTTTGTCTGAGAGGAGGTGGCCATCGGTGGCGGCGGAGCTAAAGCATGAGCGCGGCGAGACGGGTGGAGAGATGGGCGTTGAAAAACTCGCACAACCTCCGACCCAGACTCTCTTTCGTGCAGCCGCAGGTGTTGTTTTAGCTTTTGCTGTAAAGAAAAACGCGCAACGATAACGGAAGACAAATATAGTAATGCAATACCCTAAGTAGATAAAACTATTTTTAATCCGTAAAATGATAGGCATCTGAATAAACAAAATACATTCACCAATACCCGATTTTAAAAAGCAGTTTGTCAAAGATTAACTGCGACAAACACATTATTTTCACCAATCATTCGTTCAAGCAATCCCCATCACATTCGGCAATCCCTCAAACTCTTCCAAGCACACACGAGACAGCTGTAAATTGCACATTTGCAAAAGGTTTTACCTTCGGAAGACAGCAAAACACCTAGCACAAGACACCTCTGTTCCTACCTTCCTTTACCACTCAAACAACCGCAGTTTCAACTTCTCACTGGACCACGTGATTTCGCACTGCCAAAAAAAGTTCACAATCACCACATGTCGAAATACCATCGACGAAGTACGGAAGCTGGGAACAGGTGAACGACGCTACATCTGGCTCTGCACTATTCTCTCTCAGCCTAACACAAGCACTAGTCCTCTCACCTCCCAGTTTTGGAGAGCGTGCTGTCACCCCTACTTGTTGTCTCGTGTGAAGATGCTTTTCTCGCACACCTTGCAGTTGCGCCTTACCAGATAAATGGACAAAACACAATCGTAATGACTGTTTGGTTTTCGTCGAGCGACTCGTAATAGACGGTCAGGTTTACAGTCCAACACGCACACACAAACACAAGGTATGGATGGCCCCCATAAATTGAGGCATTGTCTCGAAGGTGTGGGTGGCACAGTGAGTGGATTGCCTGGGGACAAACTATGATGCAATGCTCCTTCGCTCAGTTAACCGGGATCCAACCGTCAAACGGTTAAAATCCACCACTACTACGAACAGGCTCGGCGAAATGAGGAGAAAATCCAATCACGCAAGAAAAATAGCATTTAAACATCGATCACTGTGCAACATCACTGGATTAAAAGCAACTTCGCTGCTAGCTTTGAAACCTAGGGTTAGGTTGGCCGCATGCATGACAGCGAAAGCGGTAAAACGTGAGCGTTCAGACGTAAAATGTTCCTGAAATGCCTATTACTTCCAAAAACCTCTAATTCAAAGCATAGAGCTATTTTTTGTTTATCAATGAAAAGAGTAATAGAGGATACGATCTAGCTCACCTTGGTGGAAAGGATAGCAGGACAGGAGGAATACGTACAAGGAAAGCGTCGCAACTCACTGACGTGGACGGCGCGAATGTGCGCCATGAGGCCCCGCTTCGAAGTGTAGGCCACCGGATTCGGCATCACAGGCGAGCAGTGGGTGCACACAAATATCCGCCTCTCCTCCACCGGTGCATGGCTCCACTCGTGCTCGAGCATGTGAGCACGGCGGGAGAAGCGACGATTGCAGATCTTGCAGATGAACTCTAAGAATGATTGAGTGATTTACTACACAGAGTTTAAGGAGCGGGAGGAAATTGGATCAGCTCACTGTTATTGGGGTGGTGTTTCGCGATATGCCTTCGCAGTTCGTTAAAGTTCTCAAAGCGTTCGTTGAAATCGGGCGGAGGGTTGGAGGCAGAGGCGTCGGTGACATCGCAGATACCCCCAGAGGGCGCAGAACTCATCCGCATGGTGTCACATATCTGGCACTTAACATCATGATGTCGTTTCTGGTGGCGTTCCAACTTTGAGTTTGTTGTAAATGCGGCATCGCACTTGATACATTTGAACCGACGATCGCTGTGAGGGAGAGAGAGTAGGGGTACGGGCAGTTAGTACAGACGAGAATGGTGAAACCTACCCATGGACGATAGAGATGTGGGCCCAGACAGATTTCTTTTTGTAAAATTGTCCAAGATTACATTTAGGACAGAAGTATTCGATACGATCAGATGACTTGTCCAGAAGACTTTTGCTTCTCCGAGGTGTGGTAGGAGTACCAGCGCACGTAGCGGCATGACGAGAAAGATGCTGTCGACGTATGTAACTTCGTCCACAAGGGCACTTAAAAGGACGCTAAAGTAAAAATTGAATAAGAGTTGCATTCTGGTATGAAATCTGCCACCAATTCCGCGGCCACTGCGAATGAAGGCAATAAGTTTCGGCAAATAATGAAGACTAACCAAGAAATGAAAGGCCAATATAGTAACCAATGGCAAGATAGATGAAAACTCGGTAAAGGCCCACAAGTTACCTCTCCAGTATGTATACGTTGATGAATAGTTAATCGAGATGGGCGATTGAAAGACGCTCCACAAATATCACAGACATGCTTCATTGGCATTCAATAAATGCAAAAAGACCGACTAATAAATACCAGGAAAAAAGTAACAGTGGGGATATAAAAAGACATCGGGTGATAAGTAGCTCCAACAACGGCCAATCAAAGCGTGGAAACCGATGCAATCAAACAAATTGACACACGTGCTCAAAATAATCATTGGTGTATTATTTATTCCGATGGGCATCATCATCAAAGCCCATGATTTGCATTTTTAAAAAATAGAAAAGCGAAAGGTTCACTCATCTACCTGCATATCCGAGGATAATAACATAGATGTATCATTAATCCACTAATATTGGATAATAGATGGTCCAGACACCAATGATGAAATTAACTTACACAAGCTATGGGGCCCCAAATAAAAAACATTTTCCCATTTTAATCGTCTCTTCGTATGAACAGGGCGTCCCTACAATTTGGAAAAGATAAAACGATAATGTATGGGGCAATTTGCCCGAAAACTTCTCCCCAGTGTGGATAATTGACTATGTTGTAGCGTCCCGAGACTCCCTGAAGACGAAAGAAGACAAAATACTCGGGCAGAATATATATATTCAGCACAATGAAGGTGTCTGGGGTATAGGCATAACCCAAACGGCCAGCCCACCCAGCGAGGTACAAGGGGGCTAATTCGAAATACAAAAGTGGCGCCTCACCAGAACCGAGGGATATACCACTATCGTATTACATGTCAGTAGCAAGAGTGCAGAATCTGAATGCAGGAAAAATGTGTTCTTAGTAGCACGTTTATACGGGGCGTTAAAGTGTCGATCCTGTAGTTTGCCACCCAAATAAGCTCTATTGCCTCAAAGCAACTTTCTAACGCTATCTAAACAATTAAGTTTTATGGTTAGATAAACCCGAACATTTAGTAGGCATGCGTTTTCGTGTGATTAATTGCATTAACTTTGCAAGATATTTTTTGCTCTAATGCTAATTACTTCTAGAAAATATTAAACAATACTTTGATATCCTTTGCTGAGCTTGCGTATTTTGCGCAATAAGTCAACCCTGTATTAGACCGAAATTTATACAAATTGGTTTAGCTAAGTCAAGGTAACACGGGATACTTCGGAATTGCAAGATCGGTTGCATACCGGTTATGCGGTTGGTGCTGTGTACCACTGCGTTTACAACAGTAAGTAGCTTGCTTCTGTGGGCCTCTCTTTGTGTGTCATACATTCCGATCGTCAAGCCTTTTTTGTCTCCTTTTCAAAAGCTCAAAAATAGTTTCTGCTTGTTTTCATGATATTTTTTCGGACTCTGTATCATAATGTGTTGTTGGAGTTGTTGTCCGTTGCGCTAATCTTTTTTTAAATATTTTTTTATTTTCATTCATTTAAGAATACGGCCTTGCTTTGTTTCTACATTTCTTTATCTTGGTCATGACATCAGGTGGTTACTTCAGTGTGCTACAATACATATGTTACTATATCCATTCAGCTCATGTTTGCTCGCTGGATTTAATTTTTTAATTAGATAAAGTTTGTATTGCTTCAAAGGTCTGCAAGAGTAAGTAGTGTGGTGGATATTCGAATACCTGTGTTTCCTACTTTATTTTGAGACACTTTATGTATCTTAGTTTTCTGCACCTCAGGATTCGCTCGTAGCCCTGTACAAGCTGTTTAGTGGGTAACATTTCATACCCGTTTTAATACACTCCTAAATTTATACGGTTGCTTAATTTTGCGCATTTATAGTTATTCCGCACTTATCTTGATATCCTAATTTAATACTCCAGAGATCGTATTTTTTCTAGTTTTCTTAGGTTATTTATGGCAACGCCCATGATTTCGGCTCGTGTTCCCGACGAAAGTCAACTAAAGGCTATTTCGCACTTGGACAAAACTGCATCATGGGATTCCAACATCTACGAGGTGCTCCTCTCAGCAGCCTCCACCGAGAAATCAGTACCTTTCCCCATTGAAGGTGGTTCCGACTCCGGCCTTTTTTGTACCGTCGGCAATACCATCAATCCAGCCCAACTGATCTACCACCCAATCATATCATCCTCTTCCACCTCCCCTAAAAGGACGCCTTCAATTCTCCGACCTGGGGATGTGATTCTCGAAATTGGAGAATACCAAATCTCGGGATTTACACGCCTGGACGCCATCAGACTTTGCAAGACTCTCTTCCACGCCAACTCAAATGGAGAACGGCCTCGTATTCTCCTCAAGTTGATCTCCCCCTCTGCGATTCCTTCTGGAAGTGCACAACTCAACCGTTTCCTCTCAGCCCAATTTCACATTGGAACACCCGAGTTTCTTCTACAGGAGGTTACTCGAAACAACATTTATCAGCGTGTTGTTCCATGTAGGTACCTTTCGGAATATAGTAAAGTTAGCAGTTAGAATAATCTGGATTTATCACTGCCTTGAGCTGTCGCCCTCGTGCTGTTCTAATTTTAAGTGTTTTCTTCATCTGCGCTGGTTTTCTGATTTTGTAAGTGACCACATTTCTACTGAACACAGAAGTGGTTTTGCTCTTGCACTCCAGTGTTTTACTTTGCGCCAGTTTCCTGCAAGATCCGCTTGCTACAAAAAATACTAATTTTGTTGAGAGCGGCTATCGTAATTTCTCTTCCCCTTCTGTGTCGGCTTTAAATTTTACTGTCAGACAAAACGGATGTTTGTTTTTGTGCCGGGCCAAACGGAAGTTTTGATTGCACGTTGCATAACGGTAGGAAACTTTGACGATTTAGTGTTGTAGGTATTACAAATAAATAGATTTTCCACTGAAGTGACCAACGGATTTATTCGTTTTAGGCACAACACGAGAACCGAGACCAGAGGAAAGGGACGGTGTGGACTATCAATTTCTTGGAGTTGAGCGTTTTTTGGCTCTGGAGAAGTCTGGTCAGCTACTTGAAAGTGGCATGTACAAAGGTACGAATTGGTCTTCAAATGTTCGTCTGATTGTTCGTATCGAGATAGCGTTAGCATGCTTCGTAGTTCCACTTAATCAAGATTTACTCTAAATTTAGTCGATTTCATAGTAATTTCCCAGAACCTCAACTGCTGGCTGCAAACCCTTAAGTGTGCAGCATCTTCCGAGCCGTCACAATCTCCTTTGATAAAACTTGTGCAGTGAAACTGAGTTCGGCTTTTCCACATCTCAGAGCCTTTTATTTCATCTTCTCGATGCCACGTTTAAACTCTCGAGTGGTTCTTGTTTAAAAAGCGATATAAGCTCCTTGCATGCCAGAACCTCCTGGTAGCTAAATAAATCATCTTTCGAAGAACTAGACAGGCTTTTACTTATTTACTATGGAGGATTTTCCACCTCGCGTGCTACGAATTTTCCCGCCACCACTCGATGAAAGCTGTTCCAGCCTTTTTTTGCTGTGTGACCGCACGATTTTCGTCTATTTAGTGAAAAACACTCAAATGCATTCTATTTTCTCTGAAAACACATTATTCAGGACATTAGTAATTAGTTTAGATGGCCTAGTCTTACGGTTTCTTAGTGAATGTCACGTCCGAATTCGATCTTAAGGTTTCGCGTGCTTTCGTAGAAGTGTGACTGTCTTTTCTGGCTCGTGTTGCCTCTAGGCAACCATTACGGCACTCCACGACCGGATGCAAATGCCACGGCGTTCCACGTAGAGACGAAGGCGAAGGACAGCGCTGGTGGCGATCACTCCGCCGCTTCTCCCGAACTGACGCGTACAGCCGAGGTAAGCCCATCTGCCCACGACCTAGGTTACCTCTTTCCTTCCCTCTTTCATACCTTTCACATCGAATTTTAACATTCCTGTGAGCGCCTGACTATTCTTGGATTTAGATTTAAGTACGGTTTGGTTTATGCTTATTCCTCTACTCAACCTTTTAGAACTTGGGAGTTTCGTGGTATTACCACGTAGCCCTAAGTGTTGACTACAATTTTGGTAATTTTCAATGGTAATGCGAACAATAAGCTCCTACAATTTTTCTTAGGTGACGTGTCGTCTGAATTAAGAGTAGATTCCTCTATTTTTTGGTCATGGCAAATATGCGTTTCCCTCACTGATATTTTAAGCGCATATTTGCATGCAAAGAGGTGCTTACTATGGTTTAAATACACACCTAAACACCTATTTAGTTCGAGGTCAGAAATTTCCTTAATGCACAAGAGCTATAATATTCTCAATCAATTTGCAGGAGCCGCTACAACAACAACAGCAGCAGCAGCAGAGAGATCTGAGTTCAATAGCATTACCAAACGGCTGGGAGGTGATTGATCACCCAGAGTATGGTCTGTTCTACGTAGACCACATCCATCAGAAGACGCAGTACGAGCCCCCCACGGAGGCCGATTTCGAAGAGGCAGCACGTCTCCAGGCGGCGGGTAGTTCTGCCCCCTCTATCACTTCCACCGACAACATCAGCAGCAACGGTAGTAGCGGCAAAAACAACCATCAGAATCACCAAACTTCGTCCTCCGACACTTCTGACAAGTTTACCGATGATGCCACCCAGGTTCGGGGTCCCCTAGTGACCTCGGTCTTAGTGAAGGGATCGAAGGGCTTTGGTTTCACCATCATTGGAGGGTCTAGTCCTGGTCAACCCAGATTTCTACAAGTACGTGGATCTCCGACCTTCTGCCTTGCACTCCAATCATTCCTTTATCCTCCTAGTTGGTGCGACATTGGACAGCTCGCATTTTTATAGGTTAGTGGTGGACTGCGTTTTTTCCTGGAGGCGTAAATAGGCGTCGGACTTGGGAGGACTCAAAACATAGGCAACGTGGTCATCACTCTGTATTGTTTCGGGTGTCGACCTTAGCAGTTCTAGCTGTTGTACTTTTGAAATGATTAGAAGAATAGGAGGGAAAGTGCGGTGACGTAAAAAATTTACGGCTTAATGAGGATTTAGGTACCTGCCTTACCGATTCGTGTGCTTAATGATAGGCAGAACCTATTGAATACTTCTTCGAAGATTGAGACGATGTTTGGTAAGAGGACTAATTATTACCATTTTTTGCCTCAAAATATTTTATTAATTTCCATACGGGCCTCATCCCTTCCTTTTGATGCAACATAGTTGCCTGTGTACCACCAACATCTTCAAACGTGGGAAGGCATGAGATCATCGTATTTAATTTGTTCGTCACCAAAAAGCATGCAAAACCTACTTTCTGCCCACCAACTGTTGTAGAAATACGCATAAAAATAGTGTGAATTTCATCCCTCTACCACAATCCTTTCCTGTTTTGCGTTTCATCGCTGTAGTTTTCGTATAATGGTCAACCAATCTGCTCTCATGTGGACAGTTGTGCAGTGAGACCAGAAGATACCAGGGGATTTACTTTTGCAAAGTTCTTCAGCTTCTCAATTTTGCCTGCATATTTCATTGTCCATCTAAAGAATTGACCCTGAAGACATCCATAAAACGCGGAAACCTGGAAATAGATACCATCGTGCTTGTGTAGGATATCTAGAAAGCGTACCCAAGATTTGCCATAATTCTGAAGACTTTATGAGCCTCTGTAAGTTTAAAGAAACTGTATCAACATAAAAAGATCTGACAGACCAACAACACAAGCGATGGTATTCCACTAAAGTGAAGGTTGAATTCTGCGAAGTTGAACAGACTCGTGGTGTAAGATAAAAGTATGATTCGACTGCACAGCCTCCTCTCGGTATCCTTATGCTCCGGTCCTCAAACAGTAGTCAGGTTGATCAAAATCACTCACAAGGCAGGCAAAAAGAAGACTTTCGAGTCTAACGGCATTGTATGGGTTGGACGAAGTGTAAGCATAGGAGAGGTAAAAGAGTAGCTATTTGCCGGCATAGAAGACTGATTCATAGTTTTTTTGGTGCAGGTGAAGAACGTGATACCGGGTGGACCAGCAGCACAGGAGGGGACTCTGTCAGTGGGTAACGTTCTTGTCTCCGCGAATGGCATCAATGTCCTCGGTTTCTCCCACGACCAGATTGTCACTCTCTTCCAGTCCATCCCCATCGGTGGCACTGTCACTCTCACTGTCAGCCAGGGTTATTCTC